AAATCCTGACCATCCTGATCACCAGTGTTTTGAACTGTGCATCTGATAGGTTGGCTGTCTCTTGGTTGCTTAAAAGTATTGGCTCTGGGGCTTTGATTTATTCTTCTGATTGAGCCATTTTTGGTCAAGTTGCACCTGTTACATATGAGGGGTGGAGCCTTAGGGTTCACTAGGGTGGGGCAACCCACATCACTGGGTTGTAATGCTTTATGTGGGGGCAGGGTCAGAGATGGGCAATGACACTTATTCTGTGCTCTCTCGAATTTCAGTCCCCTCTGCTGCTTCCCACAAGCAAATTTGGCCCTTCTGGTGCTGGTTCCCAGGTGGGTGGGCTTGTGTATGTTCTAGGACCCTGTGGGTCTCTCCCATGAACTCTCCTATGAGTCTGAGAGCCACTCCTGGCATCTCAACCTCCACAAATTTTTTCATTCAGTGCTTTTAGGCTTTATTTCCCATCACTGGGGCCCTGGTTTGTGCGGTCTGTCTCACTGCCCTTTTTTTTTTTTTTTTTTTTTTGGTCTGGTTTATCTGTGCACAAATGTGTATCACTGTCAGCCAACTGCCTTGCGTGTCAAACTGGGTTTGTTCGTTTCTTCCTCCCACCTGGGTCTGCTAACCACCACCTCCTCCTGCTGGGGCCCCTCTCTGCTGGCTGCCAACTGCACCCCTCGTACTGGTCTGGGTGAATGGTTTGTTGTTGTCATACTTCAGTACAGTTCAATTTTCTGTCTGTTCTGGTTGTGTTTTTGTTTCTAAATCTTTGTTGTCCTTAAATTTGATTGTGCCAGGAGGCATAGTATTTCCACCTATGCCTCCATTTTGGACGTAAGTTTTTTTTTTCCTTTTTTAAAAAAAATTAATCTCTATTGTTTTTTTTCTACATTACCTTTCAGTAATGTAGCCCTCTCTTATAGCCCTCTCTTAATTGATAACTGTTTTCATGTTAAAATAGTTGGGGGGAAAGGATCACTGGTCTGTCTTTAAAGGAGATGTTTCAGAATTTCAAAGCCTTCTCCTATAATAAAAAATCAGCCTGTGGAGGCTGCTCTGGAAACTGACACATGACACAACATCCCTGCCTCAGACTCCAAGAGAGGGAGGACGCCTCCCTGCACTCGAGGGTCACCACGGACTCCTGGACCAGGTGGGGCCCATCACCTCCTTGGAATGCCCTCACAGTACCCTCACCTGGGGACCACTTTAAGAATGCCTTTACATTTTCTTGCCATGACTTGGCTAAGTGTAGAGTAATTGGCATAGAACTTGGATGTTTTGGTTTGTTCTCTGCCCATCTCCTTACCCAACATTCACCCTGCTTTCCTGGAATATTAGAATTAGTCTTATCTCTAATTCTGGGATAATTCAAGGGATAAAAAAAAACCTCTACATTTGCATATTTTTAAGACCATGATATTTGTTTTGAATGTGAGTCATAGTTTTTCTGTTTTTTTAAATGGTATTTTGCTGATAAGACAAGGAGACCTTGATGCTGAAGGTGTGGAGATGGCATGTTTCCCAGGGTTGAATTAAGGGAAATCAGAAACTTTTGAGTTTTGTTTGTTTTTCTCCACCAAGGGCAGCTCTGGAGGTCATTTAAGCTGTACATGGAGATTGTTAGGAATGGCAGATTCCAAGGAACAGAAAAGAAGAATCCCACAGTTCTCTTGCCAACCATCTCAAGGAGTAGGATTGGTATTACAACATTAGCATTCAGCTCACAAAGTAGCCACATGTGTCCTCTCCCAATCTTTACATTCCTGTACCCTTGGATGACAGTGACCACCTCCCCTTTTCCACATTCCCCTGCCATGCCCGATCCTATGTCTGAAAGATGGTGAGTGTTCAGAAGTGGGGAAATGAAGGAATCTGAGGCTGCAACATGAAAGGGAAGAAATGAGAGGGACTCGAAGTTCTCAGGCTGCAGACATACTGGAGTCAGGGGAAGAGTTGGATGTACTCATATTTTCAAGGCAAGCTGCCCAGCACCTTCAGCAGATCACTGAGTCATATCTGAAAATTCCCAGAGGGGTCTTACATGTGCTTATGACCAGTCCCCTCATCCTCTACTCTGGTTCTCTCATTAAGATGTTTGCTCTCATTCATTTTTTTGAATTCTTGTTTCTTCATTCTTTTCTGTTTGGTTGTTTCTTAACAATTTTGAATGGATGTGGTAATTCTGCCCCATATGAAAAAAGGATGCAATCACTGAGCATGTTAGGAAATATGTTCTGTAAAATCAAAATATTGTGGTCATCATCACAGTGTAGTTCTTTGGACACTGTTAGGAAGTACTAACAATGATACATTAACCTTACAAACTTTATCCAGCATGTCATTTGGGCATATCACTGGAGGGTCCAATCCCAACCTTGTGGACCATGTTGGTCCACTGGCACAACCTTAAGTGCCAATAGCACTATTTTAATAAACTATAATGCATTGTTACAGTGAATTTAAACTCAACTGAAGTCCCAGGTAATTTTTGTTAAAATTCTGGCTCCAGTATTTAGCATCTGCATGACCCTACAGGGATGGACCTAGATCATGAAGCTTATATAGTTTGGGAAGGTCTTTGAGAAAGAGTACAAATTCATGGATTCAAAATCAGCACAGGGCCTTGGAAGAGGCTCATGTAAGTGAGAGGCCTGAGCTTAAACTTCATTAGCTTCATGGTAGAACTGCCTCTATGGACCCGAGAAAAGTTATATGACCATTCTGAGTCTTAGTAGCCTTACCTATGAAGTCAGGATAGTAATCATTACTCTGTGGAATTATGGAATTTATATATATATATTCCTTATATCCATAATATATATGAAAACTTGTATTGAAAGTCAACATTCTAGAACTCGAAAATTGGTCACTTATTATGAATATCCAAATGTAGAGAGACAATATACTATGAAGATTAGATTAAATTTTTTCTTTTCCTGAACTCTGATTGTGTTTGTGTGAGGTCAGATCCCAGTGGGCACAGGGACCAGACATGATCATCAGCCTATGACACTGACTCTCAGAATAACAGTAAAGCATGGCTGTGCAGAGGGGGTCTTGGCAAGAACAAGGACGGGAAGAGCAGGTTGAGGGACCAAGGAAGGGAGGGTGGAATGTTGCAGAGTTGAATGTTGACTTCATGCCACTAAGTAATTATCATTTTGATAAACTGTTTTAACAAACACAGCCTCATTTGAACTGCATAGCACCTAGCAGGGGCAGAATACCGGTGATGACCACCCTTCAGAGGGCCTTTTTTGGACAACTCATGCCACAACCCACAAGCCTCCATCACCGTTTACTGAGTGTCTCCATAATGTGAGATGCACTGTTAAGTGCTTTTCATGTGTTTTCTCATTGAATCCTCTAAGCATCATTATTTTCATTTGGCTGAGAACTAGTGGACCTGAAGTTCTTTTTTATTTAAAGGAAATAAAACAATCATTTATTAATTCGATTCATTAGATAAATATCTCTTAATCAATTATATTATGTAAGACAACAAAAAATAAAACAATCTCTTTCCTTAAAGTAATTTAAACCTAGAAGAAACCATAGTCCTAAAGGAAAATCATTAAGATTATTTGATACCCATAATAGAGAATAAATAAAACTTTGAAAGATGTCACAGGGAGAGTGGAGAAAATCCAAGAATGATGCCCTTTTCAAGAATAAAGAAACATCAGATTAGACCTTGTTTGAACAAATAATGAAGGAGAACTTCCCCAGTCTGGCAAAGGAAACAAACTTCCAGGAAGTCCAGGAAGTTCAGAGAGTCCCAAAGAAGTTTGACCCAAGGAGGAACACACCAAGGCACATCATAATTACATTAGCCAAGATTAAAGATAAGGAGAACATCTTAAAGCAGCAAGAGAAAATGAGACAGTTACCTGCAAAGGAGTTCCCATAAGACTCTCAGCTGATTTTTCAAAAGAAGTCTTGCAGGCAAGAAGAGGCTGGAAAGAAGTATTCTAAGTCATGAAAGGCAAGGGTGTACATACAAGATGACTCTATCCAGTGAAGCTTTTATTTAGAATGGAAGGGCAGATAAAGTGCTTCTCAGATAACGTCAAGTTAAAGGAGTTCATCATCACCAAGCCCTTATTATATGAAATGTTAAAGGGACTTACCTAAAAAATAGAAGAAGATTAAAAAAAAACCATGAACAGTGAAATAGCAACAAACTCATAACTATCAACAACTGACCCTAAAAACAAAAGCAAACACTAAGCAAACAATTAGAACAGGAACAGAACCACAGAAATGGAGATCACATGGAGGCTTATCAGTGGAGAAGTGGGGCGGGGAATGGCAGGAGAAGGTACAGGGAATAAGAAGCATAATTGGTAGGCACAAAATAGACAGAAAGAGGTTAAGAATAGGACCTATGCACCACAATGTTCATAGCAGCACAATTTACAATAGCCAAGAGCTGGAAGCAACCTAGGTGCCCATCAGTAAATGAATGGATCAAAAAATTGTGGTACATATACGCAATGGAATTCTATGCAGCAGAGAGAAAGAAGGAGCTCCTCCCCTTTGCAACAGCATGGGTGGAACTGGAAAGCATTATGCTGAGTGAAATAAGCCAGGTGGTGAAAGTCAAATACCATATGATCTCACCTTTAACAGGAAGCTAAACAACAAAACGAACAAGCAAGCAGAATAAAAACAAAGACACTGAAATAGAGAACAAGGGGACAGTGACCAGAGGGGAGAGGGAAGGGAATTTAAGGGGAAAAAACGGGAGGAATTTGGAGGAACAAATAGGAAGGACACAGGGATGAGAACTAAGGGGGGTGGAAAAGGGAGGGAGGTGGGGAGCAAGGGGCAGGGCGGGGCTGGGATGGGAGAAATAGACAGAAAACTGTTCTTGAAAAATAATTAAATAAAATTTTAAAAAAAGAATAGGACCTAAGGTTGTTACAACTAGTATCTTTGCCAAAAACTTAACAACTAGTGTCTAAGCACCTAATGTAGTTTTGAGCGTTTTTCTATGTTAACAGATTTGGAACCCATAAAAGGTTTGAAAACCTGTGAAGAAATTGCTTAAGAACCCCGGCCTGCATTGGAAACTGAATCAGTGTGCTCTATAAGGGAGCATATTCTCCTCAACAGTGAACATGGATAACATTGGCAACACTACAGGTAGATTCAATCACTTCTGGGGATGTGTCTTACTTATCTTTGCATTGCCAGTGTCCAGTACTGTTGCTGGCAACATATGTGCTGTGAAATGAGGGAGCAAATGAAAACTCTGGACAAGCAGCAGATGAGGGGCAGAGCCAGGAAACCCAGGGCTCCTGACTCCTAGCCAGAGCTCTATTACTGCCAACACTGCTGCCCCTTCTCTATGTAGGTTTGGCTGCTGTAACGAGGCCCAAAATACAAAGGCTGAAACAAGAGAGAAGTTTACAGCCCTCTTATGTACAAGCCCTTGTAGTCAATTACAAGGCAAGAACAAGCAAGCCTCTTCCTTGTAAACACCTAACCAGGAAGCTTCAGATATCACTTCCAGGTACATTGTACTAGCCAAACTAGTCACATGGCCACATCTCGCCACATGGAATGGTGGGAAATATAGCTTTTCTGACCATCAAGATTTTCTGTTATTATAAAAGACAGGGGAATGGTAGTCTTAGCCACAGAGGGGCAAGCTGCTGTATACAGTGAGAAAAAAAACTAAGGTATAGAGAGGTTTCCTCACTTCTAAAATGTAACAATAATTATAACTTCCCAGAGACTCATGCATTTTTCCCATGCTAAACAATAACAACAATGCTAATTAGCATTTATTGAGCATGTACTATATTCTAGGTCCTATACCATAAACTTACTTTACACATTTTATCTTCCCAACAACCCTCCAAAGCCGGCATTATTATTATCCCTTTCATTTTAAGTATGAGAGAACTAAACCTCAGAGGAGTTAATTAACTGGCCCAAGGTTTCATCACAAGTATGTGAGTGAGTAAAACCAGACCTGGGTTCCCTGACTCCAAAGCCCATGCCTGGAACTCGCCTGCTGCCCCCTATGTTGGAGATTGTCACAGTATCTGCACTGCAGGGTGGTTGCTGACAGGAAGGGCGATGTGACTGATGGAGCACACACTAGGTTTTCTCTACTTTCCCCAGGGAAGGCAGTGCACTTTGCTGAGGCTTCAGGCTTCCTTGCCCGAGTTAAGGATCTGGCTCCATGGTGGACACCGTCCAGTCCATGGTTGCTGGAGACAGGCTGGAGCCAAGAGGAGAAAGAATTCAGGTTTGAGAGAGAAGAGGAAAAAGCAATAAACTGAAAAATCACAGCTTTGCAGGCAATGGAATATATTACTCAGAGACTAAAATGTCACAAGAAGTACACGTCAGCTCCAGAACTCGAAAACATTTTTTTCCATCATAATTACTCCTCGCCACCAATACAGAGCACTCTCTCCCTCCCTGGGAAGGCGCTTGCCCCACTCACTGTCTTCCTGGTCTTCTGCAGACCTTGAAAACTGCCTCGTATTTATTCATAGTCTTAAGAGTGGCCACTACCAATGAGCACTTACCATGTATCAACTACTTACAGCTTGTTAATTCCTCAATAACCCTGTGGGATAGATACTGTTAATTTCACCCCTGCCTTACAGATGAGGACACTGAGGCCCAGAGTATGAGGTGACGTGCCCGTCTTCACAGAGCTGGTAAGAAGAGACCCAGGATTCGAGCCCTGCTCACCTGTTCCGGAGGGCAACTTTAATACTCCTTGAAACATCCTCATCAGAGCCCAGTTCTGTTCATGGGAAAGTGGGAAACAGCACAGATCCTCCCAGAAAAACCTGGCAAGTCTTTCTGCTCTTTTTTCACATTCAGGCTTAATGTGAGCCAAAAATCCAACGCATGGAGGGTGGACCAAGGAATGTCAAATCCAGCCCCAGCTGGGGCTGGTGAGCAAAATTAAAGGTTAACTTGCTAGTTAACCTTCAAAAATGAGGTTGTGGAGGTATATTGTTAAATAGGTGAGGTCACAAATAGTATGTACAGTGTGATCTCTATTTAAAAAATAAGTTTAAGTATACAAATACCCCTCCATAAGCTTAAAAATCAAGTCATCATGAGTTCTTCTATCTGAATAGCAAGATTATGGGCAAACCTTGTCATTTAAAAAAAGTTTTGAAGACATTGTAGTATTTATTAAATAGCTCTCAATGTACTTTGATTTTTTATTGTTATTCTGTTACAGTTGTCCCAAATTTTCCCCCTTTTCTCTCCTCCACCGACCCTACCCCTGTCCCCACCGCAACCTCCACACCGTTGTCCATGGCCATGGGCCACTGGTACATGTTCTCTGTCTGGTGTCTTCCCTTCTTTGACATGGTACCCAACCTCCCATTCCCCCTCAGGAAGGGTTTTTTTTAAAAAATCAAGTCTAATAGCCTTTAAGTGACTGATTTGGGGGAGGGAATAAAAGAAATGTCTTAAAACTTACTTTAGCTTATATGTACAGTATGTCTTAAAGATATATATATATATATATATATATATATATATGATTTGGAAAAAAGAAAATTTAAAATAAAAATTTAGTATCAGCACATTCATTTCTCAGATTTCTAAATAACAATGTGTAGCTACATTGTTTGTTTGTTTGTTTAAAGGAAGAAGAGAGTCGGTGAGGACAGGAAAGTATGCTAAGAGAACAATGAGAACAGAAAGGAAGGCGCCATGACTTACAGAACAAGAAAGGTACACTAGCACAGTTCAGCCAGCTTCTCAAACCTTGCTGCCATCACCAGGAAGACTCAGAGGTGATTCGAGTTCAAGGAAGACCTCAGGTTTGTGCCTGTGTGAGAACACCTGGAAAAAAGCTCACAGTGAGGATGACCTCCCTGAAAACCAAACAAGTCCCTCCCTCCCTCCCTCCCTTCCTTCCCTTTATCTTTTTTTTTTTTTTCATTTTGAAAGAAAATTACACTTATAGGCGAGCTGGGGAACAATACAAAGAATTATTTTTTCCCAAATCATGTGATAGTAAGCTGCCAATCTGATGGTCCTTCACTCCGAATACCTTCCTAGTACAATTCCTGTGATGAGGGACATGGCCTGTGTGGCCACAGGCCAAGCACCAGGACCGGGAGGTGCGTGACACACAACTGTGGGCTAAACCTCAGACCCTGTCTGAGTAATGCCGATTGTCCCAGTCATGTCTTTACAGCAAAACGATGTCATCCAGAACCGAGTGACAGTTGGCTGGCTGTCTCTTTTGTCTCTTTCAGTCTGGAACAATTTCTCAGTATTCCTTTGTCTTTCACCACCCTAACAATTTTGCAGGTTTCAAGACCCCTGGAGGGGCCACCTCAGGTGGCTAAGGGAGAAGGCAGACAGAGGCCACACCCGGGGCACTTGCCTTTCTTAGGGCTCGTGGTGGATTGCTTGGGAATCCCTCATTAGGGCCAGATTGGGCAACTCAAACCAAAGGAACCGGCAGATACCAAGAGCTCAAACCCTTCAGTTCTTGCACTTGGTGGGGAATCATTGCAAGGGGTCATGCTGACTGGAAACAAAAATCGACTAGGTACTCCATCACCAGAAAGAATGTATTGGGGGAGCAGGGGAGGATTCCAGTCTGGTGCACACAGACCTAGGGGACTGTGTACCTGAGGAGGCAGCAGACAGGCCCCTTTTACAGTGGGGGGGGGACAGGAAGCTAAGGCAGGGGCTGTTGGGACCTGAGAGCTCTGCTGTACACCCAGGGGGGTGTGAGAGCTCCTCCCACAGGCCCTCGGCACCCCTGTCGCTGTCACAGATTTTGACAGCCAGCCAGCCCAATCTAGGTGGCCATGAGGTGGCTGTCCTGATTGGTTGTTGCTGTGGGCAGATCTGAAGCGCTCTGACCACCACTGAGGAGATGGATGTTCTTTCTGTGCGAGATGAACAGAAGGCCCAGGAGATCTTGAGAAACAAGAAAGAAAAAGGCATTAAGAAAGAAAAGAAAAAGCCTCAGGGAATTCCGCCTTGCATTTGGAAATCCTGCCCTCCTCCGTCACCATCATTAACAAAGGCGTTATGATTTTGGAGTGATGATTTTCTTTGTATACGCACTATGATTTCAGCGTTGAAAAGCCAGTGGCCCCAGACTTCCATTTAGCTCCGCAGGTGCATGTCCTGACATAGCAGAAGTGGACAGGCCTTTCTCCTGCTGGAGTCCTGACTCTTCCTCCCCCACTCCCTCCTCCTCCTCCAACTCCCTTCTTTCACCCCACCCCCAAAAGCAGTCAGCCAAGGTTTCAGCGAGACTGAACTTCCTGATGAAGGGGAGGCTCCCAGCACCTTTTTATTGTGTAAAACATACAAGCTATAAAATGTACTATTTTAACCAGTTTTAAGAGTACAGCTTAGCGGCATTAAGTATATTCACATTGTTGTGCAACCATTCATCTCCAGATGTGTTTCGTTTTGCAAAACTGAAACCCCGTGCCCCTTAAACACCAACTCCTCGTTCCTCCCTGCCACAGCCTCCAGAAACCACCAGTTTACATTTCTGTCTCTATAAATTTTTCTACTTTAGATACTTCATCTGAGTGGAACCATAGAGTAGTTGTCCTTTTGTGACTGGCTTATTTCACTTAGCATGTGCAAAATTTCCTTCCTTTTTAAGGCTGAATAACCCCTAAGTTCTTACACGTTATGTAACTGTATTAGGACACTAGGGCTGCCATTGCGCAAGACCGCAGACTGGCTGGCTCGAACAACAGATACTGATCTTTCTCAGTTCTGCGGGCCGGAAGTCCACAATGAAGGTGTCAGCAGGGCTGGTTTCTCCTGAGGCCTCTCTCTGTGGCTTGCAGTTGGCCACCTTCTCCCTGTGTCCTCACATGGCCTTTCCTCCACATGCATTCATCCTGATATCCAAATTGTCTCTTCTTATAAAAACACCAGTCAGATTACACTAGAGCCCAATTTAGTGGTCCCATTTTAACTTAGTCACCTCTCTAAAGGCCCTGTCTCCAAATATGGTCACCTATTGAGCTAGAGGGAATTAGGGCTTACACATATGAATTTGGGGGGACATGTTTCAGCCCATAACAGTAACCTTCCTGAGAAACAGATTCCTCAGCTGTATCAAAATCGCTGTGGCCACCTTACAGGGTGCTGTTTCAGCCTGTGCCCTTGGCACCCTCGGCACAGCACTGGGGCTCGGCCACCTGTCTGCAGGACCAGCTAGCATCACTATGTCCTCCCAAGTCCTGGTGTGGGTCCTTCCAGCACATAGTGGGTGATCCCTTGAGAACATGTGTTGCTTCTTGCATCTGGAATTAGCAGGTGCTGGGGCAGCCAGAGAAAGGAGACCCAGAATCACATCACTGAGGGAAGGAGAGAAAATGGGGAGGCAAACACAGACTCCAATGGCTTGACTCTTCTACCGCAACCTGGAACTTCAGAGCTGCCTTATCGTCATGATGGATAAACAAAAACAGTTACAGTGGACTGAGTGTGTGACAAGCATTGAATTAGGCACTCTATAGTAGTTGTCTCATTTAATCCTCAAGTAGCTACTATTATAATCCCCACTGCTCAGATGAGAAAACCGAGGCCCGGAGAGCCTATGTGACTTGCCAAGTCACATAGATGCCAAGTGCTGGAGTAGCATGCATACTCACCAGGTCTGTGTGCTGAGCCTAAGGGCTTCTGACAATAATGACATAAAATTATACATGCATGTGAATGAGAATAATAAAAGTACCTATATAACAAGGGGTATGGTTAGAGGATAGGATACTGTTTTTCTTTCAGTTAAAATTTTCCACATCCTCCCTCAATCGCTATTTTTAGTTGAAATTATTTTAATGAAAGACTGTGCCTGCTGGGGTGCTTCTCTCTCAAGGACCGGAAGAAAAGTGCACGTTCTGGCCGTCGGGAGCAGCAGTGGGAAGAGCTGTCCTGTGCGGCCTTGACTGGTGTCCCGTGGCAGCACCCACCTGCCTCCCACAGCCCCGTGGGTCTCCACCAGTAATAGATTTTCAAAACATTGCATTTTTGTTGTAATGTTTTCTTCTCTCTCTTAATTCCTTTCTTTTTCTTCGTTTCTTTGTTTTTAAAGAAGCTCATGTTAGTGACTTTGTATCAGTTTATCCTTGGAATATGTGTGTTGCAAGCTCCGGGTCCCTCAACTTTCAACCATGTGGCGGATGTCTCAGATTTGAAGAGTTCTGGGAAGAGTCACTGAGGGTTGGGTGTTTTGTCAATTTTCCTGAGCTGTAGAATATTTTATTCTCAAAGTGGCAAGAAAACCTTAACCTCACCACACCCACTGCCTCACAGGCCAATTTCTAAGTTGTTCTCTAAGAAATTAGTGAAGTCTCTATAAGGATAGTAAGAAAATTCCTCCCTTTGCTGATTGTTTCACATTCTGGGTTCCACTGAGAGAGGAAAAAATCTTTGGAACCAATAATTTCTGACTTCCTTGCCCTAAACCTTGGACAGATTTGGTCTTATATGATCAAATTCATAAGAGGTAGGCAATATCACAAGTAATTAAGAATCCACAACATGACCCAACCTTACCTCTCCCACTTCATGGAGAGCTCACTGACAACCCTGACTCACTGATGGAAGCTGCTGGTTACACAGCTTTTTATCAGAAAGGCAGGCCTTGACACTTTTACGTCAGGTGACACTGCTGTGCCCAGGCAAAGCGTCCAACACATGCCAGACCCAAGGGTTCTGTGAGGCGGCCTAAACTGAGAATGTGGCCCCATATTAAGAAGCTTCGTATTGGATGGAAAATCTCCAGTCTGAGCACCTTGAATGCAAGACACAGAGCGTATAAG